GTTATTCTATGCAACAATCCTACAAGATTACACACACATATACACATACTCACATATATCTGTATCTGTACCTATCATCTAGATCAGTGATGGCTAACCTTTTTGCTGTTGTGTACCGAAGGCGCGCGTGCACATGCGACAGTGTGTGTGTGCACCCATATTGCATGCACACATGACCCCCGCCGCACTCCCCAAGCATGCACGTTCAACCTCCTGCATGAGCCCCGCCCCCCAGGCATGTGCGTGCGACTTCCCCGCCCCCACACATGTGTCTCCCGCATGTGCTCCACCCCCCCGCACATCCACAGCAGAGACCCGAAAACCAGCTGGCTGGCGGGAGGCACACCTGCATGCACAGTGGAGTGACGGCTTGTGTGCCCGCAAAGAGGGCTCTGTGTGCCACCTATGGCACGTGTGCCATAGATTCACCATCACAGATCTAGATCATATATACTTTTAATCCAAATTATATATAAGTCTTGAGTAGATGTGATTCTCTGGTCTGGGCTCTTGCTGCTTTTTGCTTTTTTATTGTATTTTTCAGAAGCCTTTTCAATTTTGGCACCCCTTAAAATTTGGTGCCTACTTGACCTTAGCCTAAGAGCTGGCCCTGGCTAGCATTTAGTTGCTCTCTTTATCATTCATAACACTGCCATATCCATTAGTTTAATGACTTAATCATCTCAAGAAGATTGGAGAGGACCATCAACATATCCTTGAGGAAAAATGAGTAAAGCTGAGGAACTGCAGCTCAATTAAGGCCATTTGAATCCCCATACAGATATTTCATGGCTGAGCTGAGGCTTTTAAACCAACATTGCAGTGTGTCGATCTTAAAAATAGGCATTACACAGAAGGGGAGTGGTGGGGGGAGAGAAAAGGCTTGGCATGATGCACAGATCGAAAATAGAACTGCTAGATGAAGATGTATGGATGTGAATTCTCTTGTTGAACCTGACTATTGTTGTGCTTGTTATTTCAGGCTTCCAGCTCAACAGCTCTGTAATATTATTCAGTTCCAATTAAAGGAGGCATATGCAGATATCACAAAACCGAGAGTTATTTAGCCTTTTTTGTATTCAGATGTTTGAGGTGCAAACAAAGACCAGATGGAGGCAGGATGTTTAAATGAGACCTATTATGCATAGACATCTGAATATGAACATGAACTGCTCATCTGTGTCACACAAATGTAATCTATCTGTCACATAATGAATGACATTGACTCTTCCCGTTGATCGAAATGACTTTGCTCAAGTCAGGCTTTCATGCGGTTTCCCAAATGAAAAATAGTGATAGTTGTTTATGCATGCTTGCATACTTCCTAATATGCAGGCCCTTTGGATGCCACGATCAGAATGAAGCCCTTGGAAAGGGTGTAGTGGATCATATTTTACTGTGAACTGGAACAGTTTCTCTCCACACCTATGAGCAAATGGGACGTGCATAGATTTCTCTGCCATCCTTAAAAGTACAAATGTATTGCCCTTTACTATGCAAGCTCATGGCTTTTTCAGAATTAAGCTCCCAAATGGTTTCCATTTGGTTGTATGCTTTACTTGGACCTTGTCCAGTTCAGAGACTTCATGGGGATTGTTTGTATTTAGGGATGCGTCAAATTAAAAAAAAATAATCTTAAATCTTTTCCATGTCAAGTCTGTTACAAGCAAAGTTTGATACACTGGGTTAAACACAGTACAAATTTACACAAATAGAACAGTCCTATCAATCTTAGTTAATTAGCTGGCTTCTTGTCCTGCTTTTCTGCTATCTTCCTTTTCCCACACACCCTTGATGATAAATTAAGGGAGAGATGTGGTTTGTTAAGAAAGAGAGAAAGAAAAGAGGATGGGAGAGCCAAAAAAAAGCAAATCTACTTGCCACCTCTCCTCGTCTGGTTCCAGCAAACCATTCCTTAAATTTTGATCATTAAGCAAAATGGTCACTAAGTGAAGATGTGTGTGTGAGATAGATAGATAGATAGATACTGAAAAATACTGAAAAATTGACAACATGGTATTTTTCCTAGTATGTCTAACCATAGTGACATGATGCCACTGGTTACAGCAGTGCAGAAAACACATTTGCTTTAAACAATGCAGGATGGTTTAATCCAGGTTTATTTTGATAGGGGTGAAATTGGGGTGAAATTGACAACCTCCACCTCCACCTCCACCTCCACCTCCTCTTCCTCTTCCTCTTCCTCCATTCTTTCACAGGGCAACTATTTTGAAATAAAATGGCTTGCTTGTATTTAAAAGCTGCAATGGAAAGCAATACTTTCTGCCAAGGGGAAATTAGACCACTACAAGCTGTATGTTGCAAAAGAAAAGATCGACTTTGCTCTGGTTTCAAATAAACTGGCACAATGCCAAGAAAAAAGCTGAGTCAAGTGTTGGAACAGGCCGGTGCTGTCAGACCAGACAGGCCCAAGATTGATTTCTCTCCATAACCATCTTCTCATATAGAAATGCCTATAGATTGCTTCTTAAATGCGATTCCACATGTGGATGGTCCCACAGAGGGAAGAAAAACTCTGAGCCCGAACAAATATATAATATAGTTCTGAGCCCAAACTAATATACTTCCAACAGCTGTGATTCTGAAACAGTAAAAGAGCACTCATGGATGGATATATCTGAACCATCTGAAACTAATTTAAAGCAGTATTTGAATCTACCATAATCTAATGAATACAATCAGATCTTGTTTGAGACTGCAAAAGCTGAAGTGAACTTGTTGTGACATAAAATATATCTAACATCATTATTATAAAGGGAAATATAAACTAAAAAAGAAATGGGAGAATTCCTAGTAGCAGATAGAAAATTTATTATTTATTTTATTCATTCATTCATTTGTTCGTTCATTCATTCATTTGTTCGTTCATTCATTCTTTTACAAGAATACTCAGGAAATGCTAGTAATTCAAGTTTTATTCCATCTTCTATGAATTGTCCCAATACCACTATAATATCTACCTAGCTGTAAGCAAAACTGATCTTTATAAATTGAATGTGATAAAAGTGAAATAATTCTAATTGTTCCAGCTATTTTGACAGTTCTATTGTGATAGCTCCCAATGCTCCAGTAATTATAAGGAAAACTTAATCTCTGTATTCTATTTGTTGTCTTCCAATATCTTACAATCTTTTCTAGTTCCTTCTGAGCTAATCTAGTGCGGCATTGCCCCATTTATAAGTAAAACTTGCTTTTCTTCAATTACATATATGCAGTGGGATGCCCCAAGGCTCTGTCTTAGACCCAGTACTTTGCAATATCTTCATTGATGATTTAGATGGGATAGAAGGGGAAACTCATCAAATTTGCAGATGACACCCAGCTGGCAGGAATAGCCATCATTCCAAAAGATAGGCTCAACATACAGAAGGATCTTTAGAGACTTGAACACTTGGCCTTATTTAACAAAATGAAATTCAGTGATGAGAAAAATAAGGTTCTATATTTAGGCAAGAAAATACAAATGCACAGGTATAGAATAGGTGGTACCTGGCTCAATAGTAGTAACTGCAAGAGGAATCTTGGAGTCCTAGTGGACAGTCACTTAAATATGAGCCAGCAGTGTGCTGCAGCTGCCGAAAGAGCCAACACAGTTCTAGGCTGCATTAACAGAAGGATAAAATCAAGATCATGAGATACAGTATGTTAGTACCACTTTATAATGCCTTGGTAAGACCACACTTGGAATATTGCAACCAGTTTTGGCCGCCTATTTGTTTGTTTGTTTGTTTGTTTGTCAAATATGTGTAAAATAACAGATATAAGTATAAACATGATTATGAATACAGGATAAGAATACATATAAAAAGGGACATTAGGACAGGGACGGTGGGCACGTTGGTGCGTTTATGCACGCCCCTTACAGATGTCTTAGGAATGGGGTGAGGTCAACAGTAGACAGTCTAAGGTTAAAGTTTTGGGGGTTTGGGGAAGTAACCACAGAGTCAGATAGTGCATTCCAGGCATTGACCACTCTGTTGTTGAAGTCGTATTTTCTACAATCAAGTTTGGAGCGGTTTACCTTAAATTTGTATCTATTGTTTGCTCGTGTATTGTTGTGGTTGAAACTGAAGTACTCATTGACAGATAGGACGTTGCAGCAGATAATTTTGTGTACTATGCTTAGGTCAGACCGAAGGCGGCGTAATTCTAAATTGTCTAATCCCAAGTTTTTGAGCCCGGTGGCATATAAAAAAGACTCTGAATTACCTGGCATTCAAAAATTGGGATTCTGGGATTTGTATTCCTTGTTTATTGGTTTGTATAAAAACTGCATACTTCCTAAGACTTGAGGCAGCTAACAGTCAAAACAAGACAAACAGAACAGGTAAAAACAATATACACCTCTCTAAACTAAGGCAGTCATTCCTGACATTAAATACATCATATGTCAATGGATTCCCATTCCTCTCTCTTCACCCAGAATGGGAAGATTCAGAAAACTCTGGTTGGCTGAATCTACAGGAAAGTCCATACAATAAGTGATGGAGATGGCACCATGCTTGTTATGCTTATAATCCTGCCACAACTGGCTCCCTTGCAAGAAGTGGAATAATCTCTCAATCTGGATGGGTTTACTGTATTAAAAAAGAGCTTTGAGGAATGAAACCTCTCCAACAAGCCACATTGTTGGAGCGAATAGCATCATCTCCACAGTGCTTTGAATAATCCAGTTAGCAGGGACTACAGGAATGCCTGAATGCCAAATCAAATATGTAAATACACAAACATACAATAGTTTGGCTTTCTCCAACCTGGTGCTCTCAATATTTTGAGGGTTTCCAACATTCCTAGTCAGGAGGGCTATTGGAATTAGGTTGTGCCAGGCCCGACACATGTAAAGAATGTGGATGGAAAACAGTGTACTAGGCAGGGGTCTCCAACCATGGCAACTTTAAGACCTGGACTTCAACTCCCAGAATTCCTCAGCCAGCTTTGGTTTGCTGGCTGAGGAATTCTGGGAGTTGAAGTCCACAGGTCTTAAAGTTGCTAAGGTTGAAGTCCCTTGCACTAGGGGATAGGTCAAAAAAAAGCCAGGTCCCCTCTTTGAGCTAAAGACACAGAGTGATTCTTCAGGCTTCATCTGATGACTGAATCTTCTCTCACTACTCTAAGCAAGTTCAGCGTGCTAGAAAAGGTAGGCCTCAGCAGACAGGCAAACCTAGATTTGTTAAAGAGGAATCCCTGATGGCAAACTTCCAGTGCCACCGGTTCCCCAAAGACATGTGTTACGATCACATTTCAAAAATCCTGATGTGCCTATTTAATCTTCCTTGAAATTGGGTGATTATGCCTATATGGTGTGCCTGGGAAAGTTCTTGCCCTAGAGGGGCCTTTAAACATAAACATTTCATGTCGGTTTGCTAGAAGTCAAAATATATGCAGCTTCTCTCTCTCCCCACCCCCCCAGTTCTTCTTTCCAGTTTTATTTAGCTTATCCTGAGAAGTCAGTGAAACTGAATGCACCGTATGTGAAAAATAACTGCCAAGGAGGCCCATCAAGTCTGTTTGGAGGAAAGCGATGGAGCCCTAGAAGAGGCGCTGTCTCTTTCTAGTCTCTCTCTTGCCATATGGTTAATGGTTTTAAAGATCCAGAGGAGGATTGTTTATAGGATTTCTTTTCAGCACGTGGTACATTTCCATCTACATTTCAATGCATTCCATAAATAAAAAATGACAAAACGCCACTGTTTTGCAAATTGCAAGCAGTTAACTTTGTTCTGAAATCTGGCTATTTATGCATAATTTGTAGCACATAGAATTCCACCCCACCCACTTTTTTTTCTTATCTTCTGCAGATGTTTAACCAGCAACTTATCAGTTTTGGAGGCCAAATAAAACTCCTTGCAAGCAAAGCAAGCGTATACAGCCACTCAACGGAGCTGCCAAATAGGGGGTGTCCTTCTGAGAGAAGTCGATTACTGTCTTATCAGAAATTCAAGAAATTGTAGTTGGAATTGTAGATCTGGCATCGTCAATGGCCCACCCACTGTCACAATCCATTGGGAGCGGAAGCAATGTCTGGTTTTGCTGCATGGAAATGCAAAAGGAAGAGATTTGAAACCTGATAGATCACAGGACAAAGCTGGGCGACACTCAGTTCAGTAGGGTGTTAAATTGTGCAGAGGTAACATCATGCTTCCCTAAATGTTGAATGTTAGCAATAGTGTGGGGTTGTTGTTTCCCCCCCCCTGAAAAACCAGTAAATAGAGTCTTTGGGAAGTAGAATGTTTTTTTTTTTTATCAGCACAAGACAAATATTTTCCAGGAGTTGGTCAGTTTGGTTTTGATTGTAAGCCAAGAAATGGTTCGTAAGCAGAGATCATTTAAATAAAAGTTCCTTGTGGAGATCGCTAAAATGCTCTTCAGCATGAGAGTGGTACTTGCCATAATGCTTGGCCTCTCAGAAGGAGCACCCTCATCTCAGGGCAACAAACCAGGAACTTCCCAGTTTGCTAAACAGATTAACTCAGCCTTCCATCCTTCTGAGATGGGTAAAATGAGGTTTCAGATTGTTGGGGGCAATATACTGACTCTGTAAATTGCTCAGAGAGGGCTGTAAAGCACTGTGAAGCGGTAAGGTAAAGGTAAAGGTAAAGGTTCCCCTCGCACATATGTGCTAGTCATTCCCGACTCTAGGGGGCGGAGCTCATCTCCGTTTCAAAGCTGAAGAGCCAGCGCTGTCTGACGTCTCCGTGGTCACGTGGCTGGCAGGACTAAACACCAAAGGCTTTACCTTCCCAGCAAAGGTGGTCCCTATTTTTCTACTTGCATTTTTTACGTGCTTTTGAACTGCTAGGTTGGCAGAAGCTGGGACAAGTAACGGGAGCTCAACCTGTTCCATGGCACTAGGGATTCGAACCGCTGAACTGCTGACCTTTCAATCAACAAGCTCAGCATCTTAGCCACTGAGCCACTGCATCCCTTTGTGAAGCGATATATAAGTCTAAATGCTATTGCTATTTTGGCATGTAATTAAGCATAAGAGAAAACCCAATTCCTCCGTTCAGAAGTAAGTAGCAGTCACTTGTGGCTTAAACCTGCTACAACAGAAATGTTAATGCTGCTGTGCAAAGTGGGGAGAAAAAGCTGTAAGAGTGGAATCCTGGGGGAAATTATGCTTCTTCGATGCTCAACAAGGTTATTATGGCCCCCACTCATACATTCGTAGCCAGAGATGGGAAAATAATTTTGCCCCTAAAGGCTTCATGCAATAATGGGTGGTAGGCTGGGGTCCAAAATACATATGTTTAAACAATATAGCTGATATTTATGTATACAGTGAATGGAAGGTGGTCTATGGGGTAAAATGAAGAGGTGGCAATGAGCATCCCACATTACGTTTTTGATTGGACCTCAGTTGGTAGCATATCAAGACGAGGGGATGCTCTCAGAAAACTCTTTATCAGTTCAAGGCTGTTCAAGACACTACAGCAGAGGGTGGGAGGATCAAAAGATTTTGCTGACTTAAATGCCTGTCCTTTCACACCAGCCAAGAGTCACAGGAAAAGAAAGAAATGATGCATTCTGCAGTGGGCAATCTCAACTCCAGATTCCCATGTTGGTAGATCAGTGATCTTCCTTTGAGGTGATTTTAGCTCTGGATAACCTATGGGAGCTATAAGGTAAAGGTAAAGGTTTCCCTCACACATATGTGCTAGTCGTTCCCGACTCTAGGGGGCGGTGCTCATCTCTGTTTCAAAGCCAAAGAGCCAGTGCTGTCCAAAGACGTATCCGTGGTCATGTGGCCAGCATGACTAAATGACAAAGGCACATGGAATGTTTGTTCCCAGCAAAGGTGGTCCTTATTTTTCTACTTTTTTACGTGCTTTTGAACTGCTAGTTTGGCAGAAGCTGGGACAAGTAACGGGAGCTCAACCTGTTACGCGGCACTAGGGATTCGAACCGCTGATCGACAAGCTCAGCATCTTAGCCACTGAGTCACTGCATCCCTAATGGAAGCTATAGATAGCTATAATTTTCTTATATGAAAAATAGATTTGCACCTATGCAATAATAAATTCACACATTTTTTTAATATGTGCCTCAACTTTCTACTCTTGAGTATTTAAGAAAGTCAATGGAAGCATGCAATAAAGAAAATATGAAGCTGAAATGTACATGGTAATTCATATTCAAATTAAGTATAATAACAAAGTCTTAGTGAAATTAGATTGCCAAAACCATCAATTATATTTGATTAAACAATATTAAATCGTTAATATTGCTATTATGGTTGGTCACACAGTCAGCCAGATGTTTAAACTGTATTTGGCATTTTTATTCAATTCATTGAGTCCTTCCCCAGGATCTGGATAGGCAAATGTTGTTGAATGGTGTTAAATGTATCATCTCAGGATGTAAGGTGTTCCAAGTAAAGCTGCCTTTTGCAATTGATTGATGGTGATTTTGTCAATACTGATGGTGTTCATGGTGCTCCAGGTAGTTGGGACTGCACCCAAGGCACCTATTACTATTGACAGTGTCTTTGTTTTCTTCTGCCACAGTCATTCTATTTCTATCTGCAGCAGGGGTGAAATCTAAAATTTGTTACTACCGGTTCTGTGGGCGTGGCTTAGTGGGGGGTGGTGGTAATGTGACTGGGTGGGCGTGGCCAACTTTTTTTTTTTTTACTTTTAAAAGCATTTTTTCTACAACCTTAAGAGGTTGCAGAAAAAAATGCTTTTAGAAGCCTCTGACGATCCCAGCTGAGCCATGCGATCATCAGAGGCTTTTTTTTTTTTTTTACTTTTAAAAGCATTTTTTCAGTTGAAGAGGATGTAGAAAAAATGCTTTTAAAAGTAAAAAAAAAAAACAGCCTCTGATGATCGCGTGGCTCAGCTGGGCATGGGGGCAGGGTGGCACAGGGATTTATGCTACCAGTTCTCCGAACCACCTGCCGCCATCGCTACCGGATCAGGCAATCTGGTCTGAACCAGGAGCATTTCATCCCTGATCTGCAGGTCTCTGTATTTTGTGATTTTCACTACTACTACTACTACAGGGTTGGTACAGCAGCATGGAATTGAACCACCTAACTGAAGTTTCCCCATCCTCCTACAGCTGTAGCACTGATTGTATGATAATTTAAATGTCCCAATTTAAACACAGACTTCTCTAATGTGTAAAAGGCTCAGGTTACTCTGCCTTAATAAAGGTATATCTATACATGTGTTGCAAATCTTATGTGACCTGAAAAACATTTCCACATTCTGGAATAGTTATAGAGCCTGACTTTTATAGGCTGCTTTCAGTGATCCAGTACAAGGTTCAGTGATCCAGTACAAGGTTCTTTGCACATGCAGTAATTGCATCTTTTACAACAACAACTCAGAAATCATATTTGTCTCAAAATAGCAGCATAGACTCATTTGAATCATATGACTGAAGCTTTGGAAACCAAGAAAAGCCAACAAGTGTTCAGATTGTTCCTGTGGAATTTTGCAGATGCTACTGTTTACAGAACAAGTAACTATGATCTGCAAATCATGAGTATCAAAGGATTTTCTGGGATAGCAAGTACCACTGGCGGCATGCAGAATCAGGTTAGATAGGAGTAGGGTAGCTAAAAGGCTCATGTGCAAGCTAATAGTAAGGTCTGGAAAATTTGGGACTGCAAAAGGAAAAGAAATTTTCAAAATGCATCACGTTGTTGTTTTTTTCTACTTTAATTACTAGTTTTTTGTTTTGTATCTCTTTATTTGAAAAAATATAATAAAAGCATCCCCTCTGAAGGAAAAAAAATACAAATGCAGGTGCAGAAAAATAACTAATCAGCATAAAAACATGTACACCAGTTGAAATATAATGACTTATAAGTGTCACAATTGCCCAGCCAAAGGGTGCGCCTGTTTGCAAGAAAAAAACTGAGTTGAAAAAGGTTCAGGCAGCTGCCATTCCAGTTGAATCCAATGGTTGCATACTGGATGTGCTCCTAATGCCTTAATGGGTGCCTACCTATGGATTTTCCTGCTCTTTCAAATGGCATTTTCAGTTGCCATGGACACAGGATTTGTGTTCTTTGCTGCAGGACAACATTGAGCTTTAGCTTATATATTTTACAGACCTGAACCACCTTATGCAACACTTTGTCAAGACACCCTTCTAGACTTATAATATCAAGCATATCTGAATGCCCAGAAGTTGAGAACTGAGTGCATTATGATCTCCTTCATAGCCATGGATGCTGAAAGAACCACCTCAATCGTATATGGTTGTCCTTTCCGCATCTATAGGGCAAGGCATTGCATGACACCAAGGGCTTTTGCATTCATAATTCTTTTCCTTCTCCTTCTCCTTCTCCTTCTCCTTCTCCTTCTCCTTCTCCTTCTTCTTCTCCTCCTCCTCCCCCCTCCCTCTCTTCCTCTTTGATAAAAACATTACTTGATGTTCAAGCCATGTCTGTATTAGATCGTACTTGAAAAGGTCTTCAAATATGCAAATTGTTAGATCATACTCTTTAATGTTGGAGGTAAAATCCTTGGGGGGGTGGGAATGAGAAGCATCAGTAAGTATTTTTTTTACTTATATTGGCATACTGTATAAGAGAAAAACTCAATGTCTGATTCTGATTTATTAGCAGGCATGGTGCAGGGTACCATAAAACTTACCAAACATAAGAATTATAATAATAGGATGCCTCGAAGCATATAAATATCCTTCTTGGGAAAAGTGAACATTTTATTTCTAACATGCAGGGATGGAAGTTCTGTGCCAGAGTGATTGATAGGTCAAAAGATGCAAAAGATTGAGAGTCACAGTTTTAGGATGAGGCTTTTTACATGAGGCTTTTGAATGTATGGATGCTTTCACACTACCAATTTACCATTTGGCAGTAGGATAATGAAATGACCTGCTGGCAACATATTCACATTAAAAATTTCATGAATCCACCCTGAGTCCCAGTTGTCACTGGAAGGAAAGGGGAAAGGGATAAATATTTTTTCCTATATTCTATTAAGTTACATTTAAGATTATCTTTCTCAAATCATCTTTTTTTTCTCTAGAGTCATAGATGACATTGAGAAATTTCAATGTACCAGAAATTACTGCTTGTCTAAATATTACACATGACCAAAGTTATTAATTTGAGAATGAGCAGCAAAATATCTTTCCCTCTCTAAATGTTTGGACATATCAGAAGATCTCTTCACTGGAGAAGAAATACCATCTATGACAGCTTGAATGTGCTGGTTAAATCTCCAGCAAATACAGTTCCACACAATCTG